CCTCTACCATACTTATGACAGACTTGGATCGTTTGTGATTCTGGCTGTCATCCTTTCTTGCATTGTTTTGAGCCTTCACTTTGCCAATTATAAGCTATATTGTTAGTAGTCTGGATAGCCCACAGTCATTATGATACAACATATGTATGTAATCCTCTACTGGATGTAAAATGCTCTGCAGTACATTTTTTCATTTTAGAATGTTAAATTCTACTTCTGTAGTTATTTTGGTGAAAGTAACTCAAAAGTAATACAGGAGTCATGTAAAGCATTACAATTCTGAGACCGTAATATTGTAAGGTAAGGAATTACTTTTCATGCTGGTTTTCTGTGAAAAATGCATACTTTTGATGTTTTCAGCAACTAGATTTCATGACGATATTCAACTATTATGAAGTGGGTATTTCTTACGAATTTGTAAGATGGAATTCATAGGGAAACATACAATTTTTAGGGAAAAAGCATGAAGGCCCATTCACACCAAGAATGTTAACTATAAAGATAACGATATAAGCGTCCACACCAGCGAACGATATCGTCTGTTTATTCTAAGTGCATGTTCCTCTGCCGATTTAAATTTGAGCTCGTGATAGCAGGATGGATTCTGATTGGATGTCAATGTTTGTATCGTTCATCAGGTGGAAAAAAATAGTTCTTAAAGTGATTCCAACGATATCGTTTCTTTGTGCCTTTATCGTTATTTGTGGCGTGTATTCTTTAATATTGAGAACGATTTTTAGAACTATATCTTTATCGTTATCTTTATAGTTATTGTGTTTGGTGTGAACAGGGCTTTAGCCTAACCATCAGGGAGGCGTAAGCATATTGTACGAAAACTTACAAATGACATGCCATAATAAATGCCATAATTTCTCCAAACTTAAAATAGTCATAAGTTGTCATGGGAGTGTGTTAATTCTGAATGTTTTCCAGGTTGTTGATATATGATTTCTTATGTGTTTTGTGTGAGTTTTGTTCTGTAGTTGCTAGGTGATTGTTTGTGGTTGCTAGGTGATTGCTCGTGATTGCTCATGGTTGCTAGGTGTTTGCTTGTGATTGCTCGGTGGTTGCTAGGTGATTGCTCATTCTTGCTGGGTGATTTCTCATGGTTGCGAGGGGATTTCTTGATGGTTGCTTGGTGCTTGCTAGTCAAAAAAAGACCACTTCCAAGTCTCTATAATATTCTCGTCCCTAGATGTGGCCTTCATTGTACGCCAGTGTATGTTTTTCATCTGTTTTAATGTCTACCGAAGTACATTTTAATTTTAAATGTTATTGATTAAAAAAAAATAGCACTTCTTCTCAACAAACTGCATGATTGGAGGTATCATTCATGTCCGTAGCACAAACTTAAAACAATTCTGTCATCATTTACACACCTTATTGTTGCTCCAAACCTGACTTTCTTCTGAAACAAATCAATGGGGACAGCCAATAAAGTCAATGAGGCCCAATGTTGTTCGAACCCCATTGTTCTTCAAATTTTCTTTTTGTGTTTCAGAGAAGAAAGAATGTCATACAGGTTTGGAACGACATGAAGGTGAAATTATGACCGAATTTTCATGTTTAGGTGAACTGTCCATTTAATAGGAAAAAAGTAATAAATCGAGTAAAACATGGATAAATACGCTTGCAAAAATGCACTTGTATGGATAAATATGCTTGCAACTCTACATAACATGCAGGAAATTCAGCAAGGAATATGCAATTTTTCGCAGATGTCAAGATTTGAACTGCAGAAACTGAGCTTTTCACATTTCCCCTGACATCATAATGGCTTGATGTCATTGCATATTAACATGACTAATGACTATGTTTAAGCCCACTTGACATAATTTATCTTTTCCTGGAATGCTATTCGTATGAGACTTTGGGTATGTGAGGAATGGAAAAAAGACACACAACATTTATGTGTCATTATGGATTCCAGCTCCATCAGTGACAAAAGAGCAAAAACTAGCTTTGATTGCTGGTGTGCTTAACAGAACTAATGGCCCCCAGAACGCCCTATTTAGAAGTGCTTAATTTGGCATAAAGGAACTTAAAAGTGTTTTTTCTCTCCGCCTGACATGAATTAAAGCCAAACTATAGCGGAGAGCAGAAAGGCACCTGACACATCTGCCCCTCTGCTCTCCGCTCTCATGCCTCATCATCTCATGATGAATGAACGTCGTATTGTTACCAAACAACATTCATCATGACTCAAGCAGTGTGAGAAATCTTTAAATAGATGTTGATCTGCAGAGGGAGGCATGATGAGGAAAGAAAGCGATGATTTCCTCTTGTTTCCAAAGCACCGATCGGCCCACCAGCCCCTCAGAAGCTCAGCTGAAGTTTATTGGGACTCGCTGCTATTGTGTCATCTCTTGAGAGGACCGGTGACATTCATTGGCTCCCATTGAGGTTATTTACAGGGGATTTGGTGACAGTGAAACATGCCTTTGCCATCCCTGTGTGAGCACGGTCCGACATGTTTTTAAGAGATGGGTGAGGCGAAGAGGTACATGTGCCACCTGAGACCACAGAAGCAGACAGAAAAGTGAGACTAATGACCATGGGCTCCGAACTCAATAAAACCCTATTTTTGACCCATACAAAGTTTGCTATGAAATTTACTGTTAACTTGAGACATATAAGTTTTTTTTCCCATGCAGATGTTATGCTCACTGCAAAAGAATAATTTTCTTAATTAGTATTTTTGCCCTGTTTTCAGAAAAATCCTAGAAACACCTGTATATAACATTGCTTTCCTAAACAATATAAATCAATTTCAATTTTTATAAATACATTTAAATAAAAGCAAAATTATTTGAAAATAATGAAACTCCTTTTCAGAGGATATTTCTGTATTTTAATAGTTATTTTCTTACTCAATTGGCAATTTAAAAAAAAAATCTTACTCAGTTGGCAATTTTTTTTTTAATTATAAATTCACTTTGATTTTTTAATAAATAAATTTACATTTAAATAAATGTAAGCAAATTGTCTTACTCTGTTGACAATTATTTTAAATGTACTTAAAACGTTTATAAAACATTTTTTTATTACTATTGTTAAAATATTTGTTTTAATTATTTAGTTTTTGAGCATAAATCCCAATAAATAGAGATGGATGGATGGATATGTTAACTCACTTCCATTAAATTAGCAGATATAACTTTTGGTTATAGTAATGTAATAGTAAATGTTAGAATGAACAACATTTTTGTTTTATAAATATTATTTTATTATTAGTTCATGTTAACTAATGCAGATAACTGTTGTTAACTAATGTGACCTTATTATAAAGTGTTACTAATTTATCTTTAAAGATGGTTAAAGAAATGCAAGGAAAACAAGACAAAACACACAATAAGAAAATGCTGTTTTTGCTGTGCAGTAAATATGACTGAACATGCTCTAAACTGGAAAGCCACAAAACGCTAATTTATTAAATCATTGTTATTCCAAGGTGATTATTCATGTTTATCGCATCACTTTGTTCATTTATTCTTCTTTTACAGGGGGGCGGGGTCTGTAAATATTACATTTCATCTGAAACAATGCTTTGGTAAACGTCCAAAAGCACTCCATTCCATCTGTGAAAAACAATTTTCTTCACATTATGAAGCTTCGTGTCATGGATCATTTTCTGACACCTCAAAATAAGACTTCAAACAAGCCTGCGAGGCGTTTCCTGTCTGCGTCTCCCCCTTGTCAGCTTCAGATTTCCTCATTGGCAAGTTCCAGTCTATCAGCCCATTATACATGGTAGCGCTGGAAAAATAGGATTACGCGAAAAGATTGTGAGGTTTATCCCAATACCAATTGTATCTGGCTGGCTGATAAACTGCCGTAGCCTGGAGAGCAAAGGGAGCTAATGGGAGGGAGGGAAAAGAGAGAACTTGGACACGAGGAGTCACTTGGCTGTGGCTCGAAAGGTCACGAGTTTAGCGCTCTGTGCTAATGCTAACAGAAACTCATTTCAGAGAGCGGGCCGTTTGGCTCCAGGGCTGTGAACTATGCGGTGGATTGCTGTCCTAGTTTTGCCTGCAATTAGAAGTGTAGACTTTGTAAGTCTTTGGCAATATGTCAAACTCGTGTCATAGGATGGACTGATATGTCAGATGATGTCTACAGGGTTAAAACCGTCAAGCTGCGGATATTTTCACTGATAATGATCAAACGCTGACCCGTACAAACCCTTGGCCTGTGTTATTTTATGATGTGCTATAGGGGTCACTACTTCTGTGTAGTACATTCAAGTCTCCATCATACACTATAAAAAATATTAATATACTATAATACTATATACTACTATAATATTAATATATGGAAAATCTAACTATTTGGCTAGAACATACATTGTAAAAAAATATTTTTGTAAATGGTATTAAATATTAAAACAAAGATTATTGGGGTACATTTTACAAGGAATTATGATTTCAGTCTTTCTGCTTTAAATTGGCATGTTTAATTCAATGTTTACTTGCTGATTTATATATATATATATATATATATATATATATATATATATATATATATATATATATATATATATATATATATAT